GTGACAGTGAGGGGGGGGGAGGGGGTGATTGGTGCCTACCTGCATCTCTGCTTCCTCTTCTCTCCCTGGCTGCTCCTCCTTCCCCTCCTCGGCTCTGTGTGAGAGGAGAGTACAGGAAGTGAGGTCACTTCCTGGCCCGCCTCTCCCATCACACAGAGCCGCATGGGAGAGGAAGCAGGAGACCTGGCAGAGAAGAGGTGAAGCTGCCAGGTCTCATTGGGGGAGGGGGGGGGGTGTGACTAGCAGAGCGGTAGGTTGTGGGGGGCCCGCGCTGCATCAGGGGCTCCACAACCCATCGATTAAATAGTTTTATTTTATTATTTTGCTGTTCCAGTTGGAGAGATCTCTGATCTCTCCAGCTGGAGCATGGCTGTGCGGCCGGGCCCCTGACTGCCTCGGGCCCTCGGTCCATGACCGATATGCCCGAGTGGTCAGTCCGCCCCTGTTTAACACGTATCCATATACCTAAACTGAATTGTTAGTGCTTGTAATTTATTTATTTATTTGATTATTTTTATTTGTAGGCTATAGTACAGACAATTTTCATTTTTAATAAATATTTTACATAAAGAGAATACTATCAGGGTTATTCACTAAAGTAAAAATTCTAAGTATATTTAAAATCTAAAGCTAAAATAGCTGCACTTTAAGCATAGTTTTTTTTAAAAATTCTTTATTTTTGGTGCAGAGATTAAACGTTACAGAATTGCTCGTAGTGCCCTAACAGCAGTTGCTAGTGTACCAATAAACATTTTATAACAATGGTTAGGCAAAAAAACCATTGCTAAGTTTTTGAGTTAAGGTAGATTAGGCGGTCCTGTAGAACCAGTTTATGAAGATTGACTAATCGTAGGGCTGACTAGTCTTACATGAATACATAAAGGTTAACTGTTGGTTTGAGCGCAAGTGGTTGAGTGTCCTCAGGTAGCCATGTTCACTTTGCGGTAAACCGTTAACCCTCTAGCCATCTGAGGAGGTGCTGCCTATGCTCTCCCTTGGGTGTCTATTTGTCCCTTCTATGCAGGGGCGGACTGACCGGTCGGGCACATTCGGACATGGTCCGAGGGCCCAGCCGCGAGGGGGGCCCGGTGGCAGGGCCAGATTGGCCCACTGGGGCCGTGGCATCTGGGGGCTAAGCAAGTAGGTGCCACCGGGTGGGCGGTCCAGTGTCACACTCTGAGGGGGCCAGCCGCATTCCACGCTGGAGCCGCTGGGCCGGGTCGCAGCCTCGCCGGTGGCACTCTTGTCCTGTCACTAACGCTGAGGACAGAAGGAGGGAGGAGCATGTCTCTCTCTCATGCTCCCTTGCGGTTCCCGCAATTCCCAGCACAGCATACTGTGCATCCTGTGCTGGGAATTGTGGGAACCGCAAGGGAGCATGAAAGAGAGACATGCTCCTCCCTCCTTCCGTCCTCAGCGTTAGTGACAGGAGTACCGCCGGACCCACAGCCTGCCAGCCGCTGCCAGCAAGCCCACAGCCTGCCGGCAGTAGCCAGCAAGCCCACAGCCTGCCAGTAAGCCACAGCCTGCCAGCCGCAGTCAGCAAGCCCACAGCCTGCCGGCAGTAGCCAGCAAGCCCACAGACTGCCAGCCAGCAACAGTAATTAAGGTAAGAGGAGCCAACTTGGCCTAGGTATCAGTGAGCTATGTTGTGTTGCTATATTGTGAATAGGAACCAGAGTGTTGGAGAGACCACCCTCCAGGCCCCATTAGACTCCATTGTAGTCTCTAATGGGGCCTGGAGGAGATTATTTCTAACACACTCTCTAAAGGACACTGAGATAGCCTCTGCTAGAAATCCCCTCCATGGCCCATTAGCCCTCAATTGTAGTCTCTACTGGGGCCTGGAGGCGACTGTTTCCAGCAGAGGCTATCTAATGGACGCTGAGATGGCCTCTGTTAGAAAGACCCCCTTCCAAGCCTATTAGACTCCATTGTAGTCTCTAATGGGGCCTGGAGGGGATTCTTTCTAACACACTCTCTAAAGGACACAGAGATAGCCTCTGCTAGAAAGACCCCCCTCCACGGTCCATTAGCCCTCAATTATATTCTCTACTGGGGCCTCGAAGGGATTATTGCACTTTTGTTCCTTGTGTCTAAAGATTGTGTAGGGTGTGTCTGGAGGCGGTGCATGGAGGCGGGACAAGGGTGGTGCTTGCTGCGGAGCATGGGTGGGGCCTGTAAGGGGGCCCTTGATTTATTTTGCCCGGGGGCCCTGAGGGTTCTCAGTCCGCCCCTGCTTCTATGTGTGCACAGTTAGTGTGAAGTGGATAGTTGTATGTGTGTGTGTGTCTCCTTGTTGTAGGTGGAAGTGTCGGGGGTTGGGGTGTATGTATGATGCTGGTGCTGTATGTGCTGTATGAGTTGTAATAAAACACTGTTTTTGGTTTGAGTTACCGTTCCTATCCTTGTCCCACCCCCCCCCATCTCAAATTAAAAAAACACAACACCTCTCCCCAAAAAAAAACCCTAAAGCCAAAACAATAGGTCCCCCTGTTTAAAAACAAGGTCTTACATGCTGAACACGGATTGGGGCTGGATTTCAGCCATCTGGCGGTGTTAGAGCCATCTGAAATCTGGACCTAATTTTACAAAATCCAGACATTGTTAAATAATGTGAACAATGTCTGTATTGAGCACTCAAATTTTGATTTTGGTGAATAACCCTTAAAAATCTCACCCTGTGAATATATTCTTCATTTGTCTTCAAGGAACACTACATAGTCACCCAGACCAATTTGTCTCAATGAACAGGTCTAGGTGCAGTGATAATGTCTTTAGAAACTACAATGTCTAGTGGCTGTCAGTATGACGGAGCGTTGGATTGGACATACCTCCTCAATGACATTGCCGGGGGAGGAGAGGTCAGCAGCACTTATGGAGCCTCGATACTGGATCCAGTTGAGTAAAAAAAGTTTATTTTAACCCTTTCTTTTCCAAAAGGTTGGTGGATCTAATACTACTAGGGACAGGAACACTATAAAGTTAGGAATACAGATTTGTATTCCTAACATTATAGTGTTCCTTTATTGGTTTAATGCTCTAACATGACCATCAGCCTCATTTAACTGCTGGTTACAGGATTTACTTATTTTATTATATCTCTTCTTGCGGACTATTAGGGTTTTCATCTGACTTTTTTTAACAGCATTGTGAAATATTCAACTACTTTTTACCTGCTTTTTGTATTTTGTACTATTTGTTCACTTTTTCTTTTGTTGGTGTGGTGGATCAGTACGATAACAAATTTTCATTGTGTAATTATCAGAAACATTCTAAAACTGTATAAACATGTATCTGTCTATCAGGTGCATCTCATTGCATCTGGTCTGAGCTGGTAAGGTAAAGTGGAAGTTCATATACTTCTGCATTTTATACCAAGTTAGGACCTTATTCAAATTCTTGAGAGGAACTGTCAGGATTACTATATGATCCAGCACGTAGAATTGTGTCACACAGATGACTAATAGCTAACGTATTACTGGGCCTTAGAATGGCCAGACTAACGTACCAAAGAATAGTCAGGGTGCTAGCCGAGGTCAGGGGACACAGATAGGGACACAACGATAAAGGAAAGCTAGAGGTCAGGGATCCCAGAATACAGGGAAGTCAAAATCAAAGCCAAAGTCAAAAACCAGAAGAAACTTGAATCAGGAACGCGCTCTCGGACAACTAGGGAAACCACGGCAGTGCAATGAGGAAAGGCAATTCTAGGTTTTTATAACTGCTTTACCTTTCCAATTGGCCGGGATCGCTCTTTGACCCCAAAACGTGCGCGCTTGGTGCATGTGTGATGTCATGTGCACGCCAACATCGTTATTCACGTGAGCGGACATGGGGGTATAATTAGCCGTGGATCTGCAGCGGCCGGCGTCCATTAACATGCCACAAGTGTTAG